GAGCGCACCCTCCCCCCACCGTCCCACACGCGGGCAATGGAGCACACATCTTCCCAGGCACGGAGCTTGCACGTGCCAAGGCAGGAAGTGTGAACATGTGCGATTCATTTCGGGCTGCTCCATGCTGTGGGGCAGCTGCGGAAAGCTCCGTTCCAGAAGCAAGCTGGAAGGAATAAGCAACGCTCGCTCTTGTTTGCCTCCGGAGCCAGAGGTTTATGAAAACAATTAGAGACAGGGCACAGGAATGTCCTACGTGCAGTCCCTCCCCGCGGGCCGGGGCCCTGACGCAAATGGGGACTGCGGCTTCTGTTGACGTGTTTCCACGTGAGGGGCTGCGCGGGGGCCCCACCCTCGTGACTCCCACCGGGTGATGACTCCTCCGGAGGTCCCTTCGCACAGAGGGACCGAGCGCACTCAGCTCCTTCTCCCTTCAGCATCGCTCTCCATGCAGACAGCTCACGCTCTGCCCTGGCCAAGTGCTAAATGGGGTGGGGCAGGCTCTATGGGTGCAGCCTGGGGTGCTGCCCCGCCCCCCCAGGTCAGCGGCAATAGTGAGGCTTCTACACCTTCAGCTCTTCCACCTGCGGAGACCAGGACAGCCCTTCCCCTGCTGCCCAGGAAAGGCACCGAGAGGCCGGACAAGACAGGCCTGGACCTCTGCACCTCTGCCTTTGCTCAGGCTGTTCCACCCACTGAAAACCCCTTCCCTCTATCCTGTCTCCACCTACACCTGTCCTTAGAGACCCAGCCCAGACGCCACCTCCCCCGGGGTCTTTGCAGACCCTCTCAGTAGAAAGAATTTCCTTCCTCCACTGACGCAGCCTCTTACATTTCTGTGACCATGAGGCCTCATGGTACGAAATACCTTCTGTGTTGAGACAAAATACCCATAAACATATAGATGCTCCGCTAAAACACCAGGTCCTCCAGGCAGCACTTCCTTTATACTGTGTGCAATGCGCTCTGTTACTAACTAGCCCAGCCGCGGGCAAACTACGGCCCGTGGGCCGGATCCGGCTTGTTCGAAATGAATAAAACTAAAAAAAAAAAGACCGTACCCTTTTATGTAATGATGTTTACTTTGAATTTATATTAGTTCACACAAACACTCCATCCATGCTTTTGTTCCGGCCCTCCGGTCCAGTTTAAGAACCCATTGTGGCCCTCGAGTCAAAAAGTTTGCCCACCCTAAGCATGCATCAGAATAATCTGGTGATGATTGTTAAAATACAGATTACTTGGCCCCATTCCCAGAGCTTCTGAAAGTTTGCATTATTAACCCCTAGAGTGCCGGGGAGCGCGATCGTGCTCCTCCTGTCTTTCGCCAAAAGCACCAGGAGCACTATCACAGCTTCGAAATGGCGTCCAGTTCTAAGTCTGCTTTTATTAGTGATGATGATATTGCTAAATATGTCAGTGTAGTAAAGGTTTCCTTAAGTTTTTGAATATGTAACTTCATTTACTTGCGATCCATAATTTTTTTTCCTAAACTGCTGTAAAATCAGCAAAAATACCTTGGCAATTTTAGCATAGTTCCTAGGATATTGGTTGGCACTTAAAGGGTTAAAGGGTCGTGGCATTAGGAAAGTAGAGCATTCTCTTTCACTAAAACATTCCGAAGGGGGAATGACTGGCTTTATAGCGAAGCCATAAGTAGGAGGGAACATGTGCAAGAAGCGTCAGGCCAGAATTCAAGGTCCACTAAACACAGGTCAACAGGTCGCTTTTTGTGGCCAGCGACCAACGGGCTTGTCCCCAAGGCCCTTGGGTGTCCTGTCCCCAAGTCCCTGAAAGGAGCTTGGGTGGAAACGTGTGGGAGCCCTGGTCTGCTTGGAGCCCCCCCCTCCTGTTGGGGAGCCTGGGCTTGGGGAAGGGAAGGGACTTGTCCAAAGTCTCCCAGGGAGACAGGGGCGGAGCTGGGAGCAAACCCAGGCTTTCGCGTCCCGTTCCACCTTCTCTTTTCACCGACTAACAGTTGCAGCGAGAAAAAGTGAATTGTTCTGAGGCCGACTGAACGCGAAACAGGCGTTACCTTTCCTGACGTCTTCACGCCTTTCCAGAGGCTGAAAAACAGGACGACGACCACCACCATCAGGCAGAGCAAGAGCTGCCACTGGGGCAGGCCGATGTCGTGGATCCCGCCGCTCTCATGGAGGTGCAGGACGCCGCGCCTGCCAGGAGGACGGGGACGGGGCCAGGGAAGACGCCATCCGTCAGGGAGGACACCCAAAACCTGGGCCCCAGGCCAGCCCGAAGGTGCACAGTGAGGGAGATGGGCCCTGGGCTGCCTGGCCACAGTCCCGCACCATCGGGGACTGTTCTGTCCATCCCAGCCTGTGCCCAGGACTGCCCTATGGGACCAGTAAGTCACGTGGGAGACTTCCCATGGTATCTAGTGGGCAGAGGCCAGGGATGCTGCTACACACCCAACGTGCCCAGCACGGTCCTCCCTCACCCCCAACATAAAAGGATGCAGCCCCAAATGTCAAAAGTCTCGAGTTTGCGAAATCCTCGTCTGCAGCACAAAAACGTCAGCCTTTCAGAATCCGGGGCCTTTCGCAGTGGGCCTGGGTCCAGGGCAGCCCTCCCTCACCGCACCCTGCCTGTGGCTCCTGGCAGTGGCCAGCCAGTGTCATCCCCTAATCACATTAGGCGCTCAGTGCTTTGGGCCAGAACACGCTTCCCAGCCCGATTTGTCTGCTTGACAACCTTCTCATCCTGCTGGTCTCAACTCAGAAATGATGCCCTGACTCAGGCCCCTTTCCTATGGAGAGAGAGAGAGAGAGAAAGGGGGGGAGGGGGGAATATAATAAGGGGGGGATGGCAGACACTAAACGTATCTAAAATGACAGAACCGGAATCAGCGGCTGGACCCATCTGACTTCATTCTGCTTTGAACTGCTCTACGGGCTAAGTGTTGAACACCTCTAGCCTCCAATCCGGTGGCAGAAATGCCCCCTGCCAGGCCCCTGGGATAACAGGCTAGACTCCGAGCTGATGAAGGAATGCAACCCGCCCCCCCCGCCCCCCTAGCCCCTCTCCAGCAGGCCCAGGCCTTGGGGGCTGTTCGCACATGTTGCTTGGATTTGTTGCCGTTTTTCCAGAAAGTTAATGAAAGTGAATCGGCAAGTACACGGTCCAGGCTTTCCACAGTCTGCGGGCCAAATGGGCTTCGTTTCTCACTTGACATTTAAGCGCGGGTGTTGATGGGTGGTAGGGCGGAGGGGGCGTCTCCCTTCTCTCCCCCCAGGATCAGGCAGGGGGAGAGTTCTCGGTTGCCCGCCCGGCGTGCTCCCCAAGGGCGCCCTCTGACAGGAAGGTCTGAGCCTCAGCTGCTTTTAGCTGCCGGCTGTCTGGCTGCGGGCGCGGAGCCTGCAGAGAATAGCGGTTTTGTTTCCTTGGATGATCGGCGCAATCCCTCAGCTCCAATGAGCACAAGATGGCAACAGCGCTGGCCAGCAGGCGCTGAGAAAAGAGCAACCACTAACCTCCTCAGGGCTGGCACTCCGAGTCCTGCTTGCTGGTCCCCAGACGGAGCTGGGATGGCTTTTAAAGCAGAAACATCTGGCTAACATGGCCATGTGCCATTAAAAACAAAACGCAGAAGCAGCCGTGGCTTGGTGACTTGGGAGCTCACAAAAGGAGGCTCCAGGTGAGAAAGGGAGGCGCGGGATGGAGTCCTGTCACCCCACAGGGTCCGGCACACCTGCCCCCAATACACCCCGATGACAGGATAAGGAGGGCAGGAGGGCGGCCCGTGCACGGGGTGAGGGCCTTGACGCAGACAACCTGGGTTCTGGTCCCAGCTCTGCCTCTTACCTAAAAACTGGGCCTCCACATTCTCATCTGTGAAATGGGAATAACTACCACCAACACGAACCGCGAAGACTCAATGGGCCTTGGATGGGAAGGGATGCTTGGTGCCTGGCTCATGGTAGCTATGAAGCTTGGGGCGGGGGCTTAACAAGAGAGGGGAGCGAAGGGGAGGGGAGGGAAGGGGAAGTCTGCAGAGCGGAAAGCTGCTAAAATAGCCTTAGATTCTGCTTCCACTCAGCCCCGCGCTGACGGGTGTCATCTTTTTCTGCTACATTCTGCTCACAGCGGGGCCTGGGGGACGTGTATGGGGACTGTCTCCCCGCCCCACTCCCCTCCGCCAGAACCCACGCTCCTCCCACTGCCGTGTCCAGGGCTGTACCCTCAGCTCCTACCCCAGGGCAGTGCCCATCACGAAGGATGACCAGCGTGCCCCCCTCCCACTGCGGTTTTCCTGAGCGTTTGGCTCCGGTCCGCCCAGCAGAGGGGGACAGGACGTGGGTGGAGGACTCACTCGTAAAACTCTGCGGCCGGCGTGAACTTGTACTTGGAGTACTTGGTGTGGTTGCCCAGCATGGAGGCGTTGAGGAGCTTGGGGTCGGTGCAGTTGGGGCTGTTCCAGGGGTGGCCGCAGTCGGTCCAGGGCAGGTGGAAGGTGAACGAGGAGAAGAGGTAGTAGAGGGACCAGGCGATGATGACGTTGTAGTAGAAGCCGACGTAGATGGCGATGAGGATCACGGCGTAGCCGACTCCTGGGTGGGGGGCAGAGGGGCTCAGCGGGGTTCCCCAGGCCTGGCCCAGAGCCAGCTCTCCTGGGGGGTGGGAGGGCTACTCCAACCACTGCACCATCCGACACATACCTTTCTTGTTCTGTCGCATTGTCACAGCCCCATCTGTATCTCCTAGGCACCCACCACCCCTCTGCCCAAGGGCTCTCTCTGGCCCGTGGAGTCCCCTAGGCCCGCACATCGGGCAGGCCAGATGTGCCAGGACCTTAATGTCCCCACTGGAGCCTAGGTGCCCCAGCTTCCTCGCCTCGGGCAGGAGAACACCGAGGCGTGGGGATGCTCCCTGGGCCCGCGGTGGGGCTGGCTTGTTGCCTGCCTCCCCTTCCCTCTCCCCTAGTGGGGTTTCCTGGGATCACCTCCCCAAATAACTCCTTACATGGAAGCCTTTGTCTCAGGACCTGCTTCTGGGGACCCACAAACCAACCCTCGCTGGTCAGAACTTCAGCCCCTGTGTTCTTGGGGTCCTATTTGCAAGCGCCTGTGTTATGTGCCAACCTCATCTTCCTGAACATATCAGGAGCTCCTACAGGGCTAGTTCTATGGCCCTTGTCCCCCGTAGATGTGTTTTTGCCTGCTCAGCATGGCTTAAGAGAGAAGCCGTAAGTATTCTGATCTTATAAGGCTTAATGAGGCCCATCCCTTACTCTCTTCTTGTAGCTGTAGGCACATGCCTCAGGCCTGGCCAATCAGAGCTCTGCTTCCCCACAGCCGCAGTGATTGGCTGGTAGATGAGCACATGGCTCACATCAAGCCAATGAGAGTCCTTTCTGGAACCTTGAATAAAGCTATGATGACATAAGGATGTTTTTGTTTTATTTTGTCACTGATCAACTTGGTGGCATTTAATCTTGTTGCTGATGGCCAGCTTCGCCCGTGTTTAGGGAGAGTGTGCCTGAGAGTGACGCTAACGCTGATGAAAAAGACTTGAGAAAGAACGGGAGAGGCTCCAGATAAATTATTCAAGAACCTGGATCAAGCTATACCTGAAGCTAGCTAGCCGGAAATTCCTGGACTTTACCAAATCATCAGCCAATACATTCTCTTTTACAGTCGAGCCACTTGGAGTGGGGTTTCTGGAAAGAAGAGAATAGCTCCTAAATAATACACTCATGTCTTGTGAGCGTCTTGTGCCAGCCTGTGTCACCTACAGTTCAGAGTACACAGGAGGCACTCAGAGACACACGGCAACAGAGAAGAGGCTCGGAGGAGTCACACTGGTGCCCGGTGCCCCTGGGCCCAGCTCCCGCAGCTGTGCGTGGGAGACACCGATTCTTACTCAGCGTCCTTCTCACAGCATCAAAGGGGCCAAGAAATGGCAGTTGCCATGGCCGTTTCCTCCAGATGTGCCCTAAGTCCCAGAGGCAAGCGGGCTTCCTCTCCTATCCCAGCTGTGATCCACTCGTTGTGGCTGTTGTGGTAAGGACTGCGAGGCAGCTTGCTGGCTGAGCCCGGACGGCTCTGTGATCAATGTCCCCATTTACCAGGGGAGGGAGAGTAGCGAGCGGTGGTACGTGTGCTGGGCACCTCTGACACGTCTGCATTTCCCGAAAGGGGCACCCTCCTCTAGTCACTCGGCTGAATTGGGAAATCGGGTTTGCAGACTCTCTAGGCCAGGGGTGGGCAACCCCTGGCACGCGTGCCAAACATGGCACGCCAGTAACTTTCGCTGGCACTCGAAACCCTCTCTTATAATCTTCCATTTACAATTGTGAATCTCTGTTCTCAGTGATGAATTTTGTTAAGTCTCGTAATAGGAGTAGCCTGACGGACGAAAGTAGTAGCTCGTGCATATCTCTTGTACTTTTCATCATCATATACTGTATTTTTGTCGCTCGAATGAATTTTATTATTTCTTCAAGGTTCTTCACATACGTGCACCTTAAGAGATATCAAGTAGGCGTAACATGTTCTCAAAAAATCAGGGTTGGCACGCAGAAGAATTTTGAGTCAGAGATTTTGCTGGTTTTGGCACGCACTCGCAAAAAGGTTGTCCACCCCTGCTCTAGGCCAAAACTACTCCTGAAATACCCAATGCCTTCCAGGTAACTGTGCACGGGGGACACACGCACCGGATCCCACAGGAGAGGCAGTCTGCCTCGGATCCCCCCCTGGGGCAGATTCTCCGGGGGGCGCCACACAAGTGTTTCTGGACAACCTCGGGTGCCCCCAGCCCCATCTTTTACCTTTGAAGAACGGGCAGATCTTCCACACTGTGGCTGCCCCTTCCCGGTTGAACTGGCCCAGAGCCAGCTCCATGTAGAAGAGGGGCATCCCAGCGATGATGAGGAACAGCGTGTACGGGATCAGGAAGGCACCTGCAGGACACAGAGGTGGAGCCTGACCCCACAGGCCCCGGCCCAGCCCGGGCCTGCCCCGTGGAGCGCGCCAGGGCCCAGAGCTGCGAGGGTCCTCATCCCTCCGCCCACCCCGCCACTCCCAGAGGGGGACTGTGCGGCAGGCACATAGGGGATACGCAGGGTGATTAGTGCAAATCATCACAACGGCAGTCACAACCGTAGTGGCCGTGGTAATATCATAACGAGCGTCTGTCATCAAATTTAGTAAAATCTGGGTTAATCAAAGCTACACAGATGTGTTTCTCACAGGACCCTCCCAGCCTTCAACACACAAGCGCACTGTGAAGCGCCAGGAGGAGGCCACAGGGGAGTCTGTGCCAAACTTCTGTAAGTACAGACCTTCCCTTTCATGCAGGCCCCAGGGAGGGGGGCAGCAGGGGGCCAAGGGCCCAGGCCAGTGGGGAATGAAGGGGTGGGGGAGGGAGTGTGACCAGGGAGGGGCTGCGGGAAGGAGAGGAGGGTCCCCTGAGACCTAGCTGGACCAGCATCCCAGACTACGGAGGGCACGATTCCCGGAACTGAGTTGCAGCCACACCTTCGTATTTGGAGGAGCAACCCCCCCCCCCAAGAGCTGTTCTCCGGGCGCCCAAGTGCCCACAGCCCTGCTCCCCGGTTGCCTCTGCCCAAGGCTCTCACGAGAGTCCCAACAAAACCCAGCTCAGTGCCGAGGGCAGCTGGGTTCTCCCTGCTCCGCACACATCCCACGGCACAGTGAAGGCCAAGTGCATGGGGAGTAAGGTGACAAGAGAAGACAGAGCTGCTCCCAGCCTGTGGCCGGACCCCGGCTTGGGGGACAAAGGCTCTCGCGGCTACAGATGCAAGAGGACGCGCCAGGCCACAGCTGGTAAATAACACACGTTCTCCCCTCCTGTCTTCATGACCAGCCCTTGGCCATGGGGCGAGTGTGAAGTTCCAGTTTGGAGCCCGCAGCTCTCCGTAGGTCTCCGCCCTGGAAAGTGGCCGAACTGGGGAGCCCTGTTTGCCCGGCTCCCCCTTTTCCCCACCTCAGCTCCAACCAGAGAGGCGCCAGGCTTCAGCCTCTGCGGAGAGTGGGCTGAGAGTGGGCCCCGGCCTCCCCTCAGGCCTGGGACTGAGCCAGCGTCTGGCACAGTCCATGCTGCGAAGGAGCCAGGCAAAAGGGCCACGGGGAGCCGGAGGGAGTCGGGTGCCTGGGCAGGGAATTCCAAGGTCCTGGGGTACCTGGGTGTGGTGGGCCGGCCCGCCTGGCTCTGACTGCAGTGAGAAGAGTAGGAGGGGAGAGCGGAGGGTTGGGGGGGGGGGGCGCTCTCTATGGCCCAGGGCAGGCCCCTCTGACATAATAAGAAATGTATGTATTTGCTCTCCGCTCCGTGTTCCTGACACAGAGCTCCCAAATCCCTGGCACTCTCCCCCGAGATGTGGGTAACAGGAAGGCCTAACAGAGCTCCCAGGCCCCCTGGAATTTTCTGGGGGTAGCAGTGTCCCTTGTTCTGGTGAAATGGCTCGGGGGGCTGCTGCATGGTGACGGTCCGCCAGACAGACTAAGCCCTGATTAGAAGATTGGGGGCTTTTGGCCGCCCCCCAGCCCCTGGGGAGGAGACAGGCTGGTGATGGACGGAATAGGGACCACGTCTGGGTGATGAAGCCGCCACGTAACCCCGAACGACAGAGCTGGGAGGACTCCCAGGTGGGCGGACATGTCCACGTGCCAGGTGTTGGCGCACCCCGACTTCCTGGGGACAGAAGCTGCAGTACTTGGGGTCCTTCCAGACCTCACTCCATGTACCTCTTTATCTGGCGGCTCATCAGTCTCCCTTCTAATAAACGGGTAAATGTAAATACGGTTTTTACTGGGTTCTCTGAGCTGTTCAAGCAAATGATCAAATCTGAAGATGGGACGGTGGGAAGCCCCGATCGCAGCCGGTGAGCGACGGGGAGCTGAAGTGTGGACGGCCTTGTGGGGTTCCCCACTCACAGCGAGTAGACAATGTCAGGACTGGACTACAGGCCATCATCTTGATGTTCCTGGCACACGATGGGCATTCTTTTTGTAAATGTTTTTTGGGTAAATAAACGGATGCCGGCAGTGACTTACACGCAGCTAATGAGAGCCCTGGGCCTTCTCCCCTCATGCCGTGACCTAGGCAGTTGGGACCGCAGGGTAGGAGGTAACATTGATCCCCGTGAAATCCCATCTGGCTGGGAAGGGCCCCTCTAGACGCTTGGACCCGCTCAGAGCCACGGGCCAAATCATGCTGGTGACCTCGACCCCAGGTCCCAGCTCCAGCCCCCAGTGCGGGTCTCATTGCTGCAAACCTGTCAGACGATGGGCCACCCCAGCTGACTGGCTCGTGGGCATCTGACCTGAACTTGGCTTGCCGAGCTCCGGGTGTAGACAGCACCCTGACGGCCAGGCCAGCGGTGAGGGCACTGAGTTTGCAAACTGCTGCCCGCGGCACCGGCCACCACCTCCTGCCTGGCCTCAACAACCCCAGCTATTTTGGCCAAGAGAGTCCCTATCGGGCTGTGGGTACCTGAGACCTGGAACTTACTTGGGAAAGGAGGGGAACCCCATTTGGGACCCAGGACCCCATTGGGCCCCATGAATGGTGGAGGGAACATTAGTCCCCATTCTCCGGGCGAGGGTCGGAATACAGAGCAATACCCAGCCTCCATTCTTAATGAATAATGAATAATTCCCCAGGCCCAAGCATGACTACTCCCATCATTTTCCCTTCGCCTCTGTCCTCTTAGAATCAGCTCTGCTCCCTCCAAAGGCAGGACCCTGCCCTACTCCTGGGTCCAGCCGATGGTTAGAAATCACTGACCAGTAACACCCAGTGTAACAACTCCGTTTACCGAGCTCCTACGCGGTGCGGGGCGTCCTGTGTATACTCTCTGTCACGACACCTCACCGACAGGGAGGCACAGCTCCTCTGCTTTCTGCACAAGGAACCTGAGGTCCAGAGCGGACGAGGGACTGTCCAAAGCCACATCTCCCAGAAATGTCAGGCCCGGGTTCAGACCCAGGTCTGTCTGGACCTAAAGAGCCGTCGGCACGACCTGTCACAGGGAAGCAGCCGCTTGCAAAGGATGGTTCCCAGTGGCCTCGCCCCCCGCAGGGAGGCAGATGCAGGGACCCAGCCCACTGGCCCGGTCCTTGCCCGGGAACAGGCCACGCCCAAGCCCACAGGTGCCGAGGGGCGATGGAGAACCCTGGAGACAGCCCCACTGCCTCCCTGCTGGAGAAGGTTGTGATGGAGCCCTGGAATGTTCTAGAGTGCCTTTCCCCAACCGGAAGCCTCCCACACACCTGTACTCCAGCGGCTGGCTGATCTCTCCCAGCAGGTCATGCAGGAGATAGTAGCCAGGGGTCTGACCTACGGCACCTCTATCATATCACAGCGGCCTCCCGTCTGCGACGCCACGGACCACTGGCCGCGGAGCGTTACCGTGTTCATCCCGGCACCAGAGGAATGACCAGGGGCTGCCAAGGAACAGGGCGGTGAGTCCGGGCTGGAGCACAGCTCTGGGCCAGGAGAGGGGTGGACCTTGGGAGTCCTCTGAGCTCACCTCCAGCGGCAGTGGGGGAACCTGGGCTCAGAGAGGGGCAGGGCCACGCCCGGGGTAACAGAGCTGGGTGAGGAGTAAGTTAGAAAAGGAGCCACCTTGGGCTCGGAGATGGCAGCTGCCCTGCTGCGTTGTGCCAACCAGGGGCATCCTAGCCAGACATGGAAATTCACGGGTGATACCTCCCCACCCTAGCCTGGTGCCCGAGGTCTCCACGGCCAGGCCCCGACTTGCCTCTGCACCCTCTCCGCTCCCATCTTGTCCTTCAGCCTTCACACGTGTCTCTGAGTGACCCCACTTCCATTCGCCATCAACTAGAATATCTCCTTCTACCCCCCAAGGCTTGACCATGCCCCTCCCGTTCCCAGAAGCTGAGCACCACCCACAGCTCCCCCCCCACCCCAGGCTTCCCGCAGCAGTGCTTGCCTCCCCCCTCTCCCCCGCCCATCCGGTCGCCCAGGTCATCGTGAGGATGTCAACGAGGAGGCACCGCGACCTGGACGGAGGCCATCCTCCCTGCCTGGCTCCCCGGGGCGCGCTCCGTCCTCACAACAAGCTCTGAGCTGAGCAGCATGGTTTCCACTTGACAGATGAGGAGACGGAGGCTGGCTGCATCCCCCAGAGGCAAAGAGCTGGGCGTTAGCAACAGGCTCCTGATCTCGCCCCAGCCCACAGCGGCGCCTCACTTGTGAGGTGCCACCAGCGGGTCTGCTCCTCCTAGAGAGGCGTAAGGTCCTCGTATGAACGCGTTCATCCCATAGACGTTTGCTGGGCACCTCCTACCACAGTCCTGGCATCTAGGCCTTATCTTGGGGGTGGAAAATTCACAAAGCCACGGTCTCTGCTCTCAAGGTGTCAACAGACAAATGACCGAACAAGTCGGGATGGGCTGCGGGCAGGGCTAGCCAGCCTAGGCGAGGGGCTTCCTGATCACGTCCCTTCAACATGGGAACCTGCTGGCCAGTGTGGCTCAGTGGTTGATTGTCAACCTATGAGCCAGGAGATCACGGTTCGATTCCCAGTTGGGGCACATGCCCGGATTGTGAACTTGATCCCCAGTGTGGGGCATGCAGGAGGCAGCCGATCAATGATTCTCTCTCATCGCTGATGTTTCTACCTCTCTCTCCCTCTCTCTTCCTCTCTGAAATCAATAAAAAAATATTTTATAAGATGGAAATCTATGCTCCATCTTGTGCCCAGGGCACCTGGCATGCCACCCTGCACACGGCAGACACTCGGTGCTGGTGGCCACAGCCAAGTGCACACAGTGCCAGGGAAAGTTCCAGAATGTCCATCCAGCCACTGTGTCCACCTGGCCACCCAGACCCAGGCTGCTTTCGGTTTCCACACTTAGAACAATGAAAACAACTTGTGGCAGCGAAGCCCTGAGCAGCTACAGCTCCTGGCAGGCAGGTGGGGAGGGGGAATGATCTGGAGGACCCAACGGAGCCTAGCTCTGGGGCTCCCTGGGAAGGACCCGATCGAGATTGCTGACTCATGATGGAGCCTTCCGCTGCCCAGGGACAAGCGTGAGGTCATGCTGGATGGTGCGGTCTAGGGCTGTGGTCAGCAAACTGTGGCTCGCGAGCCACATGCGGCTCTTTGGCCCCTTGAGTGTGGCTCTTCCACAAAATACCACGTGCGGGTATGCACGTACAGTGCGATTGAAACTTCGTCTTTGGCCCCTTGAGTGCGGCTCTTCCACAAAATACCACGTGTGGGCGCGCACATACAGTGCGATTGAAACTTCATGGCTCACGCGCAGAAGTCGGTGTTTTGTGTAAGAGCCACACTCAAGGGGCCAAAGAGCCGCATGTGGTTGCTGAGCCGCAGTTTGCCGACCACTGGTCTAGGGTCTCTCAGTCTGCCCTTCATTCATCAAGTCCCTGCTGAAACGGCGTGGGATCTGTAGGTCCTCCCTCCTTGGGTCTGAGGGGCCCTGGACTTAAACCCCCAGCAGCCCAACGTGCAAAAGTGTTCACCTCTGTCTGCATCGTGTCCCATTTCCACCCAGAGCGACAAGCGAGTGCCTAGCGCGTGCACTGAAGCAAACAGCGGGGTCCCGGGCCCTCACGCCCAGTTCCCAACCCTCTCCCTGCCTTTCCTGTGCCCCCCTGGAATCCTGAGCCAGCGCCTCTGCCAGGCAGGATGGTGCAGTGGATAGAGAGGTTTCCAGACCTGGGTCCCCCTGCACCAACCTCTGCCTCTACGTCATTTCCCCCGGGCTTTCTGCAGGGCACCCCTTAGCTCATCCCAGCAAAAGGGGCGGGACGAGGGGTTTGGGCACCGAGGAGCAAAGGCCCCGGTATCCTGTGTGGGGCTGCAGTTCGTCTCTAGGCTCTCATCCCAGGGCAGGGGGGTCTGTCCCCCAGCACGGAGCGGGAGGAGAGAGCCTGGCTGTATTCCCAGGCCCCAGCCCCCTCCACGCTGTCATGGTGCCAGGACCCCATCCCAGTCCCCAATCCCTCCTGGCCTGTGCCCTCTGGCCCCTCCAGCCAAACACCACCTGTGAGTGGGGTTCTCTCTGACACTGGTCCCTATTTGTGCGTCTCTGTCCCTGAGTGCAGGAAGCCGGGTGCTCTCTCAAGCTGGGGGTGCTGGGTTTAGAGACCCCCTGTGGCTGGCTGTCACCTGCTGTGCACTTTAGCGCCCCTTCCAGAGCTTTCCAAATCTCCACCCCCTTCCTGTGGACCATCAAACGTCAGGGATCCTCACCCAACCTGTGCCGGATCCCCTCCTTCCAGCCAAGCGCCGGTCACTGTCCAAGTTCATGCCTCGATTTCCCTCTTCCACCAGGAACTCCAATGCTTTTTCTGTGAGCCGTGCCCGGTCCCTGCCTGCGCCCCACACTTGCCCGTGCGCTTCCTCCTCCCCTGGGTGTGTATCCCAGGCCCCCTCCCAGCCACTGCTGCACAGGCAGCCTCCCCAGCCCACACCCCGGCCCGCGGGGCTCACCGCCGCCGTTCTTGTAGCAGAGGTACGGGAACCGCCACACGTTGGCCAGGTCCACCGCGAAGCCCACCACCGACAGCAGGAAGTCGACCTTCTTGCCCCAGGTCTCCCGGGGCGGCTCCTCGCGCCCGGGGGGCGCCAGCAGGCACTGCACCCCGTTGCGCTCCTTCACCACCAGCAGCTCCCCGGCCCTGCGCGCCTGCAGGGGCT